TTTTTTTATTATTTGATAAAATGCGTTATAGTGTGGAAAGTCTGCCACTATCCGACCAAAAATACAATCTCTCCACTCGACGACGATGTAGATCACCGTCATCCATGTTCTTATTGAATATTTTATATTTTGATAATTTGCGTTATAGTGTGGAAAGTAGCTTGTCTAATAATTCTCAACTTGTCTCAGAAAACGACAAGCATAGTGATACTGAAATACTACCGATAGGTTCTTGCAATAACTGGATTGCAACGCTGAGATGTTACTACCCGAAATAACTCTCGTTGACGGTGTAACCCACCGTCCGTGGGCTACAGTACCGTCGAGCCGGTCCCATCAAATAAAATAAAACTTGTTGGGTCTCATCAAGTTTGTTGAGTTTCTTTGGGTTCCATTAAATAATTTCCTCCACATACTTATATATTATAAATTTTAAATCTTTATCTTACTCCAAATACTGGATCATCTTATAAATTTTACAAATTTTTGGTGCAGTAGAAAGGACTCATATATTACCTTTCTCTCTCTACACGTAAAACCGGAGAAATATGGACGTTCATAGTACAGGTTGCCATCCTGTGACAAGTGTACTGCAGTGTCCAACCCTCTGTATCATGTAAGTGGTACTTGAAAAAATATAATTTTACCCTTTATTGGTAATGTTACAATTAGTGCTCATTGTGATTTCCCTTCATTAAATCAAAGGAGTCGTGGATAGTTTTTCTGGCTAAATCTGAGAAGTTTTGATGGTTTAAGGAGTGTACCAATTATATTTATCATTTTAAAGATTATGCAAGTAAATGATGGTAAGATCAACTCACGTCGTAAGAATGATAATAAGTTAAAAATTAATATGATATATTGAATCTGAAAGAGGTGATATGAACTTACTTTAGCATTAAATTTCATATTCATCATATTGTTTCCATAATCCATTGTAATATAATATTAATGTAGAAAAGAAAAAATGATAAATATATTTTAAAATTGTTTTTTTCGTAAATTGATTTATGTTTCTATAACAAAAGTATTGTTATTTTTGTTTGAGTTAATTCTTTCTAAGTGAAAATTCATTTATTTCCTTACGAAATATATATTTGTAAATTTTATTGTATTATTTCATTATCTAAATAATTTATTTTCAAAATAGAGTTACATTCTAAAAATATTGAAATTTTTTGTTTGATTTTTTATTTTAAGTATATATATTTTTAAAATATAAAAAATTTTCAAAAATTAATGTCCATTATCATATAATACTTTCGTACATGTGATATGTGATGAACATCGATGAATGAAATATATATATTTAATATTACATACAATACGCCTGATATTTTCAGGAATATTGTAAACATCAAAATAATTCACCATGCATGAAAGACTCCAGGTCTTGACTTCCGAAGTGTTGACTCAAACCAGGAATCGGAATCTGCACGGGGAGCAGAAGTTCAGCCGATGTGGAACGCTGTTGTCTTAGGGTTAGGGCTGACCGGAGAATGTGCTTCGAGAACGAGGGCGAGAGGAGCCGGAGGCGGACGATGTGCGAGGGTGGGCCCGCAGCCCAGCGCCCCCGCGCCCCTTCGATACCTTCGCGCAGACGAGAACAAAATTCGGGCCCGCGATTTCGCGAATATAACATCTTCCGTGGACTTTCTGGATGAGCCAAAAGGGGCGCTCGAGGACGAACAGCTTTGACCGGCCCGACGCCCGAAAGCCCCGCAGTCGTCGAGATTCTCGACAACTGTCGATGGTGTCCTGACGAAATGCTGACTCGTCGACGGATCGTGTGCGAATTTTTCCCACATGGAGCTACCTAGCTCAGCGATGGCGAGAGAGAGTGGGAGAGAGAGAGTAGAGAGTAGAAATGGGTCAAGTTATTTGATGCCCAGGCGATCCGTGTCAAACATGGCCCCATGTGGCCGGGATGCATAATGGCTGACATCGATTTCCAGGTCCAACATGACTGTCTGTCCCATCATCGAAACGATCTAGCCCAATGTGCTCGAGGTCAGCATCCGTGTAAGCAAAAGCGTGCTGGAAAAATGGAAGATCAGATCCCGATCCCAAAACAATGCGCTTGTCTCGGTACTCAGCTCCGTTCTATGAACACATGCCATCGGCAAGGAAGCTGAGCTCGAAAGTCAGGCAGGGAGAGAGAGAGGGAGGGAGGGAGACAGACAGGCAGGCAGTAAGGCAGGCAAGCGGGCATCTTTGGAATTGAATGCGTTTCCGCAGGACAAATTCGTGGAAGTATCTGTAAATATCTGATCGAGGGGGCTAAAATAGAAGCTCCTATGAGGGTACGACCGGCACATAACCGGTTCAATTATAGCCGCGTCGCACGCACTGCACGGGGCGCAGATTCATTCTCCTTCTTTCTCGTCGTGAAGGATCAAACTCTTGTACACGAGGACAATCCTCTAATTCCAATCATCATTCACCTGGCTTTTGTTTTACGTTGTGTAAAGTCTGCTTTACGCGAGCTTCATGAACGTGAGGACTTTTCCAGTACAGAACTCTCTGACTGACTGACTCCCTCACTCACTCACTCACTCACTGAGTGAGCACCGTGCCTTGTACAAACATGAGAACATGTTTGTCACGCGCCACCGTGAAAGAAAGAATCTGTTGGGTATATTGACCTGATGCATTTTAGTACTGTATTTGACTCTTCCCGCCGTGGAGCTCCGATCTGCAAACAGATCGAGGATGGTTCTCCGCTTTACTGCATATTCAGGATACTTAAAAATTGATGACAGAGCGCTAGAACTAATGTAAAGCTCGATAATTTTGGATGTCGGTAGACGAATCATACATACACGACACACCACGAAGCGAATGATCGGAGCATACGTACCTGAGTTTACAGCCTGCAGCTTCCATGCTCTGCAAGCTGTGTACTGTGTTCCAACATGAAAAGCGTTTCTTCTCCCCGAAATTTCCTGGCATTGAGCCATTTTGTTTTTACCTCTGAAGTTTATTTCAAGTAGTCTATCGTGCGGAGTGAGGTGGTCATGCGAGCCAGACAGTCTTCAGTTCTTTCGAGATGTTGACCTCCAGATACGGTGATGTGACACTAAGATGTGACCGAGATTGATGCAACAGGCAGTTGACTACCGAAGGCAAAGTCACTGAAATTGAAAGAGGTTCATTAGTATCATAGACTGTGCTTGCCTAATGGCGTGCAAAACACGTACCACCGGTTGTAATTGACCAAGGTTATTACAGGTAGCGATTGTTCGGTAGTCATAGCGGTCTCCAAGGATGCGAAGGCCCTCCTGTATCGTGCACAAAGCAAACAGGTGGCACCTGCGAAGTGTCCTTCTGAAGAGGTATTATCATAAAGTCTCCTGCCCAGCTCAGATCTGAAGGGCATGAGGTAACCATGTCTGACGTAATCAAACGAAAACTCTAGTCATACTTGGCTACTGATAACCATATTCAGAGTTATTACAATAAAGTCTTCCCTCATGCCAAGCTCAGAGCCGAATGGCAAGAGGTAATCACGTCTGACGTAATCAAAGAAATTGTACTGATCTTGAAACTCGATCCATACTTGGCAGCTACACTGCTACAGAAAACCTCATTTCAGGTTAGAAAACTGGAAAGTCTTAAACCATTTGATTCCAGAGTGTGTGTAAGTATTCCCTTTTCCAGGCAATAGATCCAAGTCTAGAAGAGTAAGCGTCGTGTATAAGACCGAAGTCGTCCAGCCACTGCTAGGCATCCTACATGCTAGACTTGAAGTCCGGTAGCAACGGTATATACTTGTCCAAGGGAAAAGATAGGAGGCTCACGTGCCCGGCCACAGCTTGTGTTGCCCAGCACGAAGATTTTTGTACGATTCTCATCAAGTTCACTCGGTACGGTAGAACCTTTTTCAGACACCTGGCTTTCAGCCCTCACACTTTCACATGCAGTTCCAAGTGCGCATGCAGTGAAGAAAGGGATGTTTTCTACCTTTGCTAATGAAGCCCCTCGTCTCCACCTTTGTGACTAGGTTCAGGTTCCCATCAATCAATCATTACCGCCTGTACGTCCTTTTGTACTTTTGCTTCGAATTTTCAGGTTAATCTATCACACTTTTGGAAGATTCCATGCCCCTCCCCCATCTGTACAGCGTTGTTGTTTGATCTGCGAAGGAACCAATGACTATCGATTCAAGTCAAGGTTCTCGACAGAAAACGTGCAGAGCTAGAGCTTTGGAGATTGGGAACCGATCGTTCTGGCGTTATGGAGTGCGGCATCCGCTAACGTTATAGAGAGGGGAGGGCCGCATTGATTAGCTCGCGTAAGCGTAATTTCTGACTGTTACTATGAGACAATATTTTTCTTCATTCTTCGTAGATTAATCAAACTTGTGCTGCAGTCATGCGCAGATCATGCTCATGGTGGCTAGGAGTCTACAGTTCACTGCAATTGCCTAAATTGCCCTAAACATTAACGCTTAGTCATGCAGCTTAGCTTCAAGCCAGGAGAGGACTCTACTGGATATAAATACAGTACCACGGAGAGGTGAGAATGCTCGATCGGATCGAAGATGATCTATGAATACTGGCCATATATGTGTGGAACGAAAAATATACAGCAACTGGGAGTCTCTTGGCCCTCTGAGCACCACACTCGACATTCTGAATTTGAAACTGAATCCTGTGCCAGCATTCGGATCTAGTGTTATTTATGGACTGCGTGATACTCGGCGCTCTTCCTTCCGCGTTGCTGTTTCTGTCTTGCAGTTTTCTCTCCGAAGCTTTCACCTTCATAAGCTTGTTATACGAGCAGGATTTGCTCCTGTCAGCTATCACGAGTTCATGAAGGTGGAAGTTTTGGGAAGTAATATGTAAGTTCCACCTGCCAGGCCGTGATTTTAATCACATGCCAGCTCCTCGAGTAACAGCTGGTCGGGAGCTGTGCACCACGATGAGAAGCAATGGCAGTTCTGAATCAGTGAGCAGAAAGTAGCATGAAATACCAGTATCTTCTTCGGAGCAATATATCTTGCATCTTACATTCCAAAGCTTCCCCCTTCATAAGCTTCCAGAAAAGTGTTTTCAGAAAGTTCAACAGCTCATGAAGGTGGAAGTTTTGGGAAGTATGTTGCAAGTACTTTGTCAGGGACTAAAGTTTGAGCAACAGGCCCTGACTGGAGATTCAGTACACATTTCAAGAAGCCTAATCCCTGTGTTCTTTTAATTTCTATATTGTGAGCGGCTTTGGATTTGGCCCAGTTCTTTCGGCATAGGAGCTTACAGTTGGGAGCTTGGAATTCTGCAGCTCCAGCAACACCTCAATCGAGACAGTACCTCTCAGCGCTATGCGTGTTGTTTTACAGGTCTTCCTCCCATATGGATTCTGCATTATATTTTCCGCATTACATGTGTCTGACCCTCTTGAATGCCTTTAAACCTCAGAGCTTACTTGTTATTCTGGTCTTTCATGTCTAGAACTTAGGACTCGAAATTCTACATGAACGGCTGTCATATGTCCACAGTCATTGAAAGTCTTTCAAGACCTCATTAGAACTTCCACTGGCTTTCTGCCGAAGTTTCTGGCCAGCTGAGTCCATAAGCACCCAAATCTAGAACTGCATTATGTGGAGCTGGTGACAGTCTCCGTATTCTCGATTCCAGACTCCTAAAAGATGGGAAGGAATTACGATTCCTTGCAGGAATTGAATATGGCTAAAATATGAAAATATCTAGTCGTTTTTTTCAGCTCCTTTGTAATGTTCGTGGTACATCTTCAGTAGCAGGAATAGGAAATTCCTCAATTTCTGAAAAGACTGCTGTGCTGCTCGTTTCCAGCATTGCTCAAGTCAGATGAAAAGCTCATGCTGTCAATTTGTTGTTAGATTCTGTCCAAGCTTTTGACGCAGGAAAATATGCTGACTGGGAGCTTCAATGAGAGACGCCAGAAACAGATCATCAGCATTCCAATGACCAAGTTAGGTGTGAACGATCACCATCACGACCGTGTAAGATCGGATGCAATATTCATAACCCGAAGGATGAAGAATTACCAAAAGATCGCAGCTCTTCGCTGATTACCACAGGATCATAGAAATGTACTCCGAGGCCCAGTAAGATATGAAAAATACCCCGAGAAAAAAGTATGACTATATCATGGGAGGTATGATAAGGTTACGACAAACACGCCCGTACCCAAGTACCGTAAAAGTTTTGTGATGTTGCATGATCCCTCTCATTCGTCTTCTGATGTCAAGACGGTGGCATCGACCAGGGCTTTGACAGTAACTAATTGCGAAAAGGGTTCAGCTTAAGTGAAGAATTTGCAGTTTGTCATTATCGAATACTCCGATGGCTCCCTGAAACTTGATCTACCCTCCAGCTGTAGTAGGTGGCCGTGCATCTTGTCGTTACCTGTTACGTAGTATCCATTCCGAATTCTGGGACATGAATGCCTGCAATCCAAAGTTTATCTACTGATGATTCCAATCATACAAAAGGTTCTGATATGTCTCTGAAAGTATGTCCAAGTCACATGTTTGGCCAATCTGAGAAAGCAAGATAAGATAGCCCGTTCAACTCCGCAAAGGTGACGCTTTGGGATCCGAGAAAATAAGAACAGATCCGGAGATCCACGCACTCATTACGAGTAGATTACCGAGCCTACCGTTTCCTAAAGTCAAATCCTGTAACGGCACAACAATCGCGAGGACTGAATGATCATACTGATGAATCGACAGGTTCACCGTTACAGAGGATAGAAGGTTAGAAAGGAATTTGCTCGGTCACAGTGACAACACGCCACTGAGCATCACAAGAACATTGTTCGTCAAAATTCTTGCCGAGCGACTGAGAACTGGACAGCGAGCGAAGGATAAATGTGATGTGGCTGATCTGACCGAGCTGTTATTCTGTTTCTTTCATTTTGCTTTACTTTTTCCACTTCCAGTTAGGATTTGGACGTCATGAAAACTTCAAGAAGATTCTTGGATAGCGATGCAACACGTCCGAATCTGATGATCTCACAACACGTTTGCTTGCGAGAGCCGGTGTATACTTCCCAAGGCTTCATTAACTGGGAAGGGGGATCTCAGGTGGGCACATGAGACTGTCGTCGACCTGTGATGGGAAGATTCGCTGGGGCACATGTAATGAGTTGCTTTAGAGGCTTCTGCGTCCACCCTCGAGATATAGGTCCTGATCTTCATAATCTGCCTTTTCCATTGCAGTGCCTACCTCTTTTGACAGAACATGTGCACAGTGATAATCTGCTTTTATGGCGGAAGAAAAACTGAATACATGTCACTAAAAGTAGCTCGGACTTCCTAGCATGGAGCCATATTAAAAACTATGCCGAGATCGACCAGAAAACAATGCACATTCCATGTCAGTCACGTTCAATGTTGAAACCAGCTGTAAGGAAGAGACTTCTACCTGCGTGGAGTGCAGTCCATCGTTGTGTGCGGCAGTTCCTCACTACCAGTGATGTCTCTTCCGCCTCAAAACTAGGACTACATTTCCATATTAACATGAAGGGCATGAATTAGGGGTGGAATTAATTGACTTTCCCCAAGTAGATCTCCGTTGTAAGACATCGTCAAACTTGACATTGAGGTTCTTTTCTGTATATTGAGCTCATCTTGTTTTACGTTGCAATGGATTCAGTCTGATCGTATCTTTAGGCTAAGTTTAACATTTTGCGTTGAGAGATATGCAGTCAAACGGGTTATCTACGATCAGAATGACAACTTAAATTCCAGCATTTTATCGAACATTCAAGCTTGGTACTGTAAGATTGAATGAGGGAAGCGCTAACAATCTATAAGTCCAGGTTAGCAGCAACTTGAAAGAGTTGTAATTAAGCCTTGTAAATCTAAATTTCGTTTCCCAGTATTTCAATTTGTACAATGTGTAGTATAGAGCAATTTTCAGTCAAATCGTCAGACCATTTTCGTGAACGAACGATGTTAGTCGGACGATGTTGTGTAATTCCCAAAAGAGTTCTCAAATCGTTCTTGCATTCAAGGATGTTCTGAGAGGTTCAAACTGGAAATATCACTGTACTACATATGTTAGCAACTTTCACGTATGTACGTCCATTGCTCCCAATAGCAGTCGATGCTGCACTAGCTATTGGTATTGCCATGCACTGGTATCTTTTTCACCACAATTTAGTATCAATAGTTTAGTTTGTTGAATAAGGATCAGAAAAGAGTCACGATGGCCTTTTAGGAGTTTCTGTCTTTGGTGACACAATGTTCTGAGTTGAAAGAATTGGAGATTGATAAGAAATCAAATGAAAGAGATATGTGAAACTTGACTTGAGGTTCAAATTCTTTCTTGGAGTCTGAAGATGAGAGATGCTGTAATAATTTAGCCTGCGAGCACATCCATACCTACTCCAATGAGCTCTCGTGCAGGCATTTGCCAAAGCTTGGGCATTTAGTGTATGGTGGAATCTCAACTTCTTCTCTCTATGCTACATACATCCTGAGAACCAGTAAATGGCTCATCTGTCTGCTGTCTCCTTTATCGTCTCCAACTTCTCAAGCGAGACCAAAGACATTGTTACGGTAATGCATACACCGCCTAAAATTGTACGTTTAAGATGCAGATGTATGCAGGTAAGACTCGGTCTTACAAAGATGAGTTTTCCGAATTTCTACACAAGCATATCCCAATGATGTCACAAAGAAATCTTCTAGAACGATCATCTCTAACTATAAATGATTACATCATGCACGCATCTGACTTCGTCAGAATGAAATTATACATCATACATAAGAAGAAGGTTCTTCTCTCAACTCATGTCCACGGTTTTAGATTCTGATACTGGCCGGAGTTTGGCTGGAATGAGTTCAGATATTTATCATGGTCTCGTTTGTCCCTGCAGCTTCATACGTTTTTATACCCGTACATGAGAGATGAATATTCAATCTAACATTTTGTACCGTGTGCTTCTCATAAAGTTCATATTCTGAACTTTAGAACAGTATAGACGAATACTACCTCAGGCATCACTCGCGTACTGCCAACTGTGTTTGAATCACAAGAACTCTCCCGTATGTTGTGGCATTGTGTATAGGCACAACGACTCAGCCTCAATCTGAAGGTCTTGCAAATAACCTGACATCTGTGATGTACAATTCAGCCGTGTTGCTATCACGCACCTAAGGCATCTAATGAGGAACATTAGACTCTTCGGTAGCAACTTCAAGGGCAACAGGTCCGCAAAGTTCTTTCCCAAACACAACCGCTGCATGATACTCGGGCGATTGATTTTTTCTGATGCTGATTACGATCTCAACTTGCCTGCACCTTCAGTTCTTCCCTTCTCAAATTAGCGTCTACAGCTTGAAATTCCTCGTCACTTAGTTGTGGAATTGGATATTCCATTGTACATATGTTGCCAGCACTTGGTTCTGATAACATTATTGTCTCTTTATCTCCCACAACCGGTTGAATGAACATGAAGTTCAAGTGTTTCTGTAATCGTGAACCAAATAACTCAATGGAAATTGTAAAATCGGGTCAGATATTTCGCTTGCCATATCATATCCAGCTCATCTATGAAGAAGACATCGACTGTCGGCTCCGAAGATGGAATCCATTATATACATAATTATGTTCATACACATGTCATGTGTATGAACATACTACAGACTTAGCATGAGCTCGTCAGTTTGCACATAGTGACCTCAAGTAGAGCGAGAAAAGGTCCACTCATGGAAGTGAACTGAACCGGAGGGTGTCATGGTGATGCCAATTTAATTTGTTGTCGATAATAAGAATTAAGGTTGTCGTCCTAGTTCAGATAACCTCTTACAGGCAAGCGACTTTCTTCTCGAAGGTGCGTGGAACTTCTTCACACAGTACTTGACTGTGCTCGTGTGATGTTCTCTACCCGGGTAGAGCTTCGCAGTAGTACAGTAAAAGGCCCGAGGTTACAACCGAGTGTGAACACGTTTCGATCAAGTTTCGAGAACGAGGCGAGAAGAGCAGTTCCACGCGGTTCTGATGATACGATGTGACAAGATTCATGCTTACAGTAGATTGCATGGACAAAGTCAGCCCCATAACTACGGAAGTCCGAGATCTGATCACCACAGTGGATAGACCCAGGTACGCGGATGCTGGATCTTTTATCGTTCAAGTCATGTACGTAAAGAATAAAATACAGTAAGATGAAACCTGGCACTATTTATGACAGAATTTCATAAGAATAGACCTTCGATACCAGTTATGAGGTTTATTATAAGGAAGATTTACTGGAAAACCTTTCTCCTAGTCAAAACTGCTCAAGTACTATATATCAATGTACTATACATTTATGGTTGTTGACAGAAAGTTATTGTGAACTCATTCAAAGTCTTAGTGCCATCTCCCTGTTCATACTCTGTGCAGAATTTTCTTCTGCTGTTTCTGACTATTTGGAAATATTCACATGCATGTTCAATTTGGTGTGATAATGTGAATGATCATAACAAAGTGTTGATATCCAGATAAGGCATGTTCCTCCGAAGTCTTGCACTGTGACCAGGTATTAACACTCTCTCTAGAACTTTAAGATCAAACGTCCACGCAACGTATGACTCGAAACTTTTAGTCATCTTTCAAGTCCATAACAGCTAAGCTCTCAACAAATTCCAATATATTAATTAAAATTTCATAAATTTAATGTTTCAAAGATTTTATTTTAACTACTATGTATAATATACTACACAATTTGGAGCAATTCATTATCCTTATTTACTTCCTTATAGAGTGAGGTCATTGCACATACTGAAAGTTAATCCAGATTCACATCTCACTTGTGAAGCGATTTTAAAAGTGAGATGTGATGGTCTTGAAATGGTCATCTCTTGCTAACACAAGGCAAATCATAACAGCTACATACTTATTGTGAATTGTATCAATGGTAGCAGTGTCAGCACGAGGTTGGAGGTCAGAATCGGTGCCATATTTTTGTTCATCCTTAAATATTTCTACCTCCTTCATACCAAATCTCATATTGGCCACAGCAGATGGAAATTAGCAGGACATCTAAACATCTGATACATGCAGTTATTTATACTAGGAGCTTACATGTGTGGTTATAGAGTAGCACTAACCTATGTCTCAAGGTCAATTTCTTGCAACAATCTATTTTTGATTTTTTCAGCTCATCCTTTTCATTATGCTCAACGCATTAATCGAATGAGATAATCCATCAAACGTTTAGCCTCCTGATGATCATATATATTGTATGTAGACTAAATTCTTCTTATTTACTAGATGACAAGGGTGTTTCCTCATCCTTTGCTTGAACAAGAAGTTCTGGATCCTAAAATTTAGCAGAAAAAACAGTCATAATGCTGGTTGTAAACGAGAAATTGAAAGTTTCTGCAGAAATTTTTTCACATCTCTTGCAATTCTACGTTCTTTGGAATCACAGTGAGAATGATGAGAGAGTGATGTTCTCAAAATCCTCAATATGAATAGAAGCTTACTCCTCCATTTTAGAAAAGAATCGTTTCCGCGCCTTCATCTCTAAGTCATCGGTCCGCCAGAACTACACTCCTGTTGAGAATAAATTGAAGTTAGTGTGCGAGATTTGGAAAGGAAATAAGGACGAATAAATTATAGAATAAAAATAATGACGAATTACTCCATGTGCTACCGCGGTTAGACAGATATTTTAAGTATTAATTCTAATGATTTCTTTGCAGGCTATACCTCAAACTGAGAATGAAATAAACCACATTCAAAGGGAAATACAATTTCTGTAGGCGGGGATGGGCGCGGGCCGTTAGCGAAACGCAACGTCTACTTGCTATTTATGGGATGCTCGATTTCACCGGTAATGATAATGATCATGTCGTCGAAGGCGGCGAGCTTGGGCTTGAACGTTGTTGCTGCTGCCTGCCATGTTCTGTCGTCGGAAGTCTGGAAGATCGAGTTATTGGTCGAGCTCATTGCATCGGGGACGAAGGCGGACTGTCCGGGTCTCTCGTTTCTCGTTAGAAACGCAGTTTAAGACTGTGATTTTGCTTGGCTTTGCAGGTACGATCTTTGATTGCGTTTTTTCTAGTTGATAGCTCTTATTTGTTGCCTTCATGCATCATGAAAAGCTCATTGGCTTTCTTCGACGTATTGGTTCTTGGATTTCTTGTATCTGCAATGTTTTGATGTGGCGTTGATTCTTTTCTTCGAACCTCGACTTTTTTGTGGTGGAAGATGTCTGCCTGCTCTCTAGTTTAGTTATCCAGTTTCCTCGTATAGAATGTAGCCTGTTCTATCCCGCCAAGTCTCAGGGACGCATGACATTCATACACGGAAGAACTGAAACTTTTTGTCGTGATGAAACGTGATAAAAGTTGTGGGTAACCGTGGCGATACTCTCGCATTAGCAACTTATATATATTTCATACATTATGTTTCGTTATGAGTAAGTGAGCCTAGATCAGTAGTAAGAAAATCTTGACGTTTCCTGTAAGTATTAATACAGGTACTTCTTGCTTCTCATGAGCCAAACCTGCAGATTGTTCCATCTGCATTTAGTGATTGAAAGCCAGAGGATTCTCAGCGGCGTATCTTGAATATGGAAAAGATAGTCAAGATGCGCTGCTCAAAGTGTGTTAATGATTTATTTTGTGGTGCTATATGCACATCAATCTACGTGGCCAGAGTTACTTGTGTGGGTTAGTGGTGAAGACAAAAGAGTTGTCTTCCACGTGGAGAGTTTAGGGTTGAAGACAAACCACTAATTTCTTCGTGGCAATGTTTTGTAATCTAATAACAAAGTGATTGTTTTATCCTTGACTTTTGAAACGGGTGACATATGTAAATTTGTTTCCTACGTGTCAGTGGCGGCAAGCGCCTCTCAGGAGTTGCTTGAAATGTATTGTTTTTTAATATATACTCTATGTGATGTGGGGGTTTTTATAAAAGGAGTTCTTCGGTAACTATTACGATGGACTCCCCGTCGGTGCGTGGAGTGTCAAGCTCTAAATACGAGGAAGTGATGTATTAGGGTTTAGGGTGCATTTTTTTCATGGATTTCACCACACAAGGACCTCCGAGAGGGAGTCCTTGTGAAATCCATGAAAAATTATGGTCCCGGCTGCCGAGCGTGGTGAGCGTGGTGAGGGTGAAATCATCGACAATCAAAATTATACCTTCTTCCGGAGCAAGTGATCTGTAAACTTGCATAAAGTATAGTTGAACCACCTTCCTGAATTTCAAGCCTTGCTGGAGAAAGTGGAATCGAGCGGAGGCTTGCTTCCGGATACCGCAAGCGATGAATATACATACTGTGGGTGGGAGAAGTTCAGGTTGAAGTAATCCCTCCATCTCATATATGTATATGAGATGGGTGGGAGAGGTTGAGGGTTTACTTCAACCCTCAACCTCTCCCACCCACTGGCGAATCCAGGTTACATTTCGTGTGTTTTCGATGCGACTGTAATATACAGTCGGTATCCTCAACAAGGGTCCATTAATGGGTGCTGCGACCCACAGTTCATGGTCATAGAGGGTACTGTACAGTTTTACTACTTATCAGATTCAGTAGACCGAGTCCACGATTTTGAAGAAAATGTTTGGAAGCAAGCTTCTGTATGTGGTTTGGCATCCCAAACTGTTGATCACATGAGCTCGCAGAGGAAAAATGGAAACTACGGCATGTTGTCATAGACGGTTTTTATAAACATTCACTTTTTCTTTAGACTACAAAAATTGCCACAAGTAAACTACTCTTTTGTCCCTAAACCCTAAACTCCTATACAATTTTTTTATTTTCATCACTAACATTGTGAACATAATTTTGAATCTTCAGAGATTGACTATGGATACAGAAGTTTTGTTGATCTCTTCTGAGCATCACACGCCACATTCAGAACTTGACATTGAATCCTATGCCAGCATTCTAAACCAGTGTTATATATTGACTTTTGGACATTGGCTGCTCTTCCTTCCGCGTTGCTGTCTTGCACTTTTCTGTCCGAAGCTTTCACCTTCATAAGTTTGTTATACGAGCAGGATTTGCTCCTGTCAGCTATCACGAGTTAATGAAGGTGGAAGTTTTGGGAAAAATATTTCCCAAAACTTCCACCTCCATGAACTCGCGATATGTAAGGTCCACCTGCCAGGCCGAGATTCTAATCACATGCCAGCTCCTCGAGTAACAGCTGGTCGGGAGCCGTGCACCACTATGAGAAGCAATGGCAGTTCTGAATCAGTGAGTAGCATGGAATTCCAGTATCTTCTTCGGAGCAATATATCTTGCATGTTTACATTACAAGGCTTCCCCCTTCAAAAGCTTCCAAAATAGTAGTTCAGAAGTTCAATAGTTCATGAAGGTGTGAGTTTTGGGAAGCATGGTGTTCGAGCAAAGCATTCTTACTCGAGATTTTGTTAATTTTTCAGTTGTGAAGCGAATATAGATCGGAATTCCCGAGTCAACTCACTTCCACTTAACGGATTTTCAGATCGCATGTGAAGTCAGTAAGTTTATCAGGTGATTCCGAATCTATAAACTCTGAATTAGAGATTTAAGAGCCCGGTTTTGAAAACTTTCCAAAATTGGAGATGTTAGCATTGTTTTTAAAGTAAAAATGATCAGATTGCAACTTACTCGTATATTTTGGAGAAAAGAGGTATCGACCAAAGGTATGCTGCACGAGGTCTTGATAACAGTTGTATTTTTGCTTGTGGTAAGATGTCTTTCACGCTTCAACTTCGTCATCACGGACCACCAAATATAAAGAGCCATATAATCCATCGGGCTTGTCGTACATTCAGTACCTTGTAGTACCTAAGGTTCTTGAAATCATTGTATACCGTGGTCGTCGTGAGGTCTTCAACAAAAAGATGTCACTTTTCGTTCGAGTCAACAATGGCAAAAAGTTCCTTATTGTGGATCTCATAATTGCACCCAGCAGCACTAAATTGTTGAGAGTGAAACAATATTGGATGAATCGTCAGTTGGTTTATGTGAGAAGCATAAGTTTCACAATAGTCCGCTCACTGCAGACTTCGTGGGCGGTTTCAGAAGAAATCACTTGGTTTGGTGATGATGAATCTTATTGCTTTGTCATCGTGTCATACCTATATTAACAGTAGATACGAAGTTCTTAAGTTGTTGATGTAGGAATAAGGGAAAGTTTCACAATAGCGTTAAAAATAGTCGCTAGTGTGAAAGACTTCTTAAGATTTTCAAATGCTTGGTGTCCTTTTGCATTTCACTCTAGCTTCTATTTGCAAGTCAATTCGGATGTACATAACAAAATTTTGGAATAATGTTGGATAAAGATTCTATAAAAGTTTGCAAAACCAAAGAAAAATTGTACGTCTTGAACAATAGCCGATTTTCTCAATCAGTGAGTGTTTGAATATTTTTTGGATCCATAAATAAATCTTCTCCAGAAGTGATGTCATCCAAGAATTCGATTTGGGGTTGGTGGAATATTCACTTCTCCAACTTGGTAATAGTCCAGTAGTGCTTAGTTTTTCCAATGCCAGTTATACATGGTTGATGGGATCTTCTTTATTCTTGGTGAAAACCAATATGTCGTGGAAATAAATAATAACAAAACTGTCTAAAACTTTCCGGAATATATTGTTCATCAAATGTTGGAAGATGACAAGTGTATTGATAAGACCAAAAGACATGACATTGTCTGCAAAATGTTCATATATAGTTCACACTACTGTCTTACATTCATTAACTCTCTTGGTACTCAGTAAGTAATTTGTCACACTAACTTTGATCTTGATGTGGATTTTTGCTTGATTGAGTTGGTCAAGAAGTCGTTAAATGAGCAGCAATGGATATCGAATCTTGATGTGATCTTCTTAAGTCCACAACAGTTTAAGTACATACGAGTAAAACTCTATTTTTTCTTGACAAATCGGATAAGAGCTCCCACAAATGACAATGAAGTTTTTTGCCAGATTTTCATCAAAGGGATCTTGAAAATGAGGTTGAGTACCTTCTTGAAGTTCAATGATACATTCATAAGGTCAAAGTTAAAAAAGTGTATCAGCTTCTTTAATCTCAAGCACGTCTCAATACTACTCATTATCTTTTGGTAACTTGGTTGATTTTTTAACAGATATAAATGTTGAAATTGCATAAATTGCAAACATATTTCCATTCTTAGCAATTCTCATAAAGGCTGGTTTGCACACCAACCATCAATGCAATTTTTATTTCCTACCGTTAGACTTGATAAGTACACGGATTTGGAATATTTCAATGGTTTCTATTTGGAATATGAAAATGTATGGTTTGATATATTAGTTTTCGTTTTTTCCAATCTATATCTAGATGTATCATCTCTAACCAACAGTTATAAAAGACTAGATTATTAGAGACAAAACTAATGACATTGAATACAATGAATCCATGCCATTCTAGCATAATTTCTAAAAAGTTGATTATGTGGATGAAATCTCCTAAAATCAAGAGCTTACCGTCAAAAATCTCTATTGCCATAGGGTATTTTTTAGTCATTATAGGATAATTTTGACTTTTTGCAAGATTTTTATCAAGAAAACAAGTAGATGTTCTAGATACTAACATGGTTTTAATTTTAATAGTATGTGAATGAAAATCTATATTTAGTGACATATTAAAACAACAAAAAGGTTTAGAGTATAGTACTTCATGACGTGACAAAAATTTTCACTCTTCCGTTCTCTAATAAGGCTCACCGCTGTTGTACTTCAACTTGATTTCTTTGTGTTTCACTCATAAATGCTTAAAGTGTAAGGTAAGTTGTTTAAGCTGTGATTATTGCTTTCACAATAGAAACACAAGTGTTACATGCGACGCTGTATTTTTCTTTCTCAATTAACTTTCTAAGTCTTGAAGTGTTAATTTGCATTGGCTCTAAGAACAAAGTACTTGAAGATGTTTGGCGGATTTAGATCTGTGTAATTTGGTTCATATGATCCAAAGAGCAATCATCCCTTGAAGTAATGGTTTTTGATAGAATGGTTTGTTTGTACAAATTCAGTAACAAGATTTGATATCTTCGTAGAGTCCACATCAGAACATGGTGATGACAGTAGTATAGTTTTAATCAAGATCAAAACATGATGATGAAAGCCGTATAGTTTCAATCAAGAATACATGCAAGTGGTTGAAGTTCTGCAACGTGTTTACAATCTAAACTTGATCGTTGTTGTAGTGTTCAAAGATTTGTTGTTGCTATGAGATCTCAATCTCTTTCTTCAAACGTTTTGTTGAATTCTTCCAAAAGTTGATCAAGGTCTGCTATATGTGAAGAATTCTTCTTCAATAGTAACAAAAACCAATATAACGAGTGAGTATTGATCTAATCAGTGTCACTTGTGTTTGTATTTGTGTTGTTGGAAACAAAAAACAAATCAAATTTGTGGTACCCCACTTTTGGTAATTTTGAGGAAATTAAAACATTTTTGGAAAACTGTACCACGGCAGCAGTGTAAATAGCCTTCGGTGCATCAAAATAGAGTGAATTCGGAAGATCGCAGAGATTTTCGAGGGACCTCGTAGAATCTAGGAGTTGGGTGCAGCGTCTAGGAAAGGCACCACCCTCCCTGCGAGCTCTGAAGGTATAATCCCTACGGCGCAAGGCGCAAAATCCGCCTTGGGCGCTGCGCCCTCGGCGGTAGGGAAATCCTTCATATTTGGGTCAACCCCCAAACGCCTTAATTAAGTTAGGGTCTCGTTGGAAAGAGCTCGACGCACTAATTCTAACGAGCCCAAGAACGCCACAAACGGATGAGGACGCCGGGAGTTATGAAGGTTGTAAGATACTCAGCTTTCCGCCTATGCACAGGCGAAGGAGGTTTTGTCCTATGCGCGGACGAAGTAAGTTCGCCTGCGCACAGGCGAAATAGGGTTTTGATGTAGGCGCTTCGGCGTCGGCGGGAAATCCGCCTTCGGCCCTAGAAATGCGCCTTCGGAGGTAGAAGTTGTACGGCGCCGTCCGCGCCAGCGCAGCAGCGCGGACGAGCAAGGAGCCGCCAGAATAGTAAAATCCGTACGGACCGTACGGACGGGACGGACGGATGCGCTCATGGTCAGACGGAGTTGCGGCGGCGAGAGCGCCGACGGAGAGACCAGGAACGGACAGTCTGGCGGGAGGCTGTTGACCGCGGTCAACGCCTTCCGCGCCAGCGCATCGGCGCGGACGGAATTCGCCTACGCGCAGGCGAGCGCCTGTGCACAGGCGGTTGAAGTTCCGCGCCGGCGGAGAATCCGCCGAGGAGTCCGCCTGCGCACAGGCGGGAGTTGAACTTTTGTCCGACATGCGGACACGCGCCGAGGCAGAGGAGGATTGGCTGAGGAGCGGTACGAACGAGTGTACCGCGCAAGGCGGAAAATCCGCCTTCGGCGCTGCGCACCCATGTACGCGGCGTAGTACGCTCGCGGAGTTCAAATTCGTCAATTCGAGCATGTGGGTTAATTCGGCGTCGGCGGAGCGTGAAGCCGCGCGTGAGAGCGGAGACCGTTTTAACGTAGAGCCGGCGCGGCCATCATTTGAGTCGACCCTCACGGGCAAGAGCCGACCATGACCTTCGACCGGGAGGCGGAGAGCGTCCCATTCTTGAATTCGCGATTCCATTTTCTAGTGCGAGCTGCGCGCGTCCATCTGCTAGCTGCTAAACATTCCCGACATCGCCGGGCAGAGGATTACTTGGTGATTGAGAGAGAAGTGAGTGCGCGTGATTTGGAATTGAGTGAGATTAGAGTTTGCCGAGGAAGCAAGGAGCTCAAGCG